CAGCCACTAATAATTCTCGTCAACAGCAATTTGTATCCAGGACATTTAGCAGTCAATTTCTATGAAATATTATTCGTTGAATCTGAAAATGCCGTCAAAAGTTATAAAAGTAGAACAGTTTTTGAAATATTGAAAAAAGTAACGTGCGAACTTTTTTGTCCTATATTGGACTCAAAATAAATTAGTTCTATATTATTACCGACTGATATAGTCATAATTGTATACAGCGTCATCTAATGATTTGACTTTAAGGTAACTATTTATAAAACTCTTGTTTTTACAGTATTAATGTTAATTGTAAAATAACTACACAGAAGAAAGATTATTTTTAAAACAAATAAAATACAATTGTTCCAAGCAAATCTTAGTTTTCTATATACACACATATATGTTTTTTTCTTACAAGAAATTTATTTATTCGAATTGTAATGTTATGTTGAATCCCTAAAATTCTTAATTTAAAATTCGTCAATTTGCCTTGTTAATTCTTTTTCTGTAGCTATTACAACTTTGATTTAAGACTATGATTTCTTAAAATAAGCAGAATATTTTTCAAAAAACTATCGACATATTTTTTTACTAAAAATCATATTTTTAATTTGAAAAGATACAGTGTTAAATAAAGTAAAACCATGATATTCATAAAATAAACCCTATCGGTTTATATGAAATTCATTTTAATTTTTACAGTGTTCTCCAAATGATTAGAATACTGTTCTTTCTCCCTTCACAAGGATGCTTTTTCTGTAACTTGTTTGTTTGTTTCGTGTTTCTAATAGAAACTTTTCTCGGGAAGAGTGCAAAACCTGCAAATGAAATTGCAGAAAAATATTCTTGGTAACCTAACACTGAATGAAGACCCAAGTTATCTCCAATTAAACAAACGACAACAAAATATACCACAATTTCACCACCGTTAATTACACCGAGAACTTGCACCGGTATACCGTCATGTAAAGAAAGACGCTACGCTGAGTTAAGACGAAGGGGATGGTACCTTAGCGCATGCGTGGGTTTATTCAAAACAAACATACTCTTGAATCAAATATATTTTCTTGATTTAAAAATTGAGAATTTTTAAAGAAACCATATAACTATTCAAAATAAAAATTATATTCTATCTGAACAAATACATTTTGTCGTTGAAAATTTTTTCCGAAAAAATCGTTGAATCAGTTCAAGAATAAGTTTTCTTTTCATTCAAACATTTTCTTATTCTTATGAAACCGTTATGTTCCAGTTAAAAAAATAATTTAAAGAAATAACATTTTCCCAGTAATCTTAGCGTTTTTCTCCAAGTAAAAGCATAGTCTTAATTAGAACTGATTGTGTTTTGAATGAAGTAAACATTTTGAAAACAATAATTCTTCTCGAAATGAAATTTTATTTTTATATAAAGTGTCCGATTACTGTCTACTTTACCCATTGACAATTAAATTTAGCAAATTTTTTTATGGGTTTCTATAGCAATATGAAAAATCATAATATGAGGTGAACCGACGTCGAACTTTATAAAAAACAGCTGAGACTTGAACGGGCTTCAACCTTACGGGGTGAATGACTCGCGATATTTCCATACTTACGTACTACCTAAGTGCAATTGACTTCGATGCATTTTACGCTATAATATTAATATTTATAATAATTTTGAGTCATTCCATAAGAAAATGTCCATTTGGTATACTGCATGGTTTTAGATTTTGATCTTTTAGGTGTGAAATACAAAAAAAAAAATTTTACTTTTGAGATTTTGTATACTTAATGGAAAACAGCCATTTGATTAGATAGAATTCAATAAAGAAATGTTTTATTTTACTAATTGGCAACACTTTAATAGTTAGAAACACTTTAATAGTTAGCAACATTTGACTTGTTAGCAACACAACCATTCACACAAATCTGATATTTAATGAAAATTCATTCATTCACAATTTTTGTGTTCATAAATATTAAAGGTACAATTAGACATATTTTGGAATGAAATTCCATTTGTACTTTTGGAAAATTCGTTTAATGAAACATCCATGATAGTTAAACTTGATGAGGATAAGTGCTGCCAAGAGTCATCCTTTGAAGCTTCCTGTTGATTGGAGCCTCTAAAAATTTACTTCGATGTTGAATTTTATTTTGAATGCTTTCTCCTATATAACCCTTAACAGGAGATGTTGAAGACCATCCCCCCAGTCTTCAAATCATGGATACTGCCCCCATTATCAACCAACATGGTAGCTGCACTCCTTCGCATACAGTGCCCTGTGTAGCTATTGGAATCAGGAAGCTTCAAGTATTCAGCAATTTTTCTCGGCAAACTATAAAATGTGTTCATTCCCACCGGTTGCACAGTGCATTTACCATTCCGGTAACAAACGAAAAGTCTGGAATGATTCGTGTTTTGTGGCCTTAATTTACGATTCTTCCGATACAACTCAATTCCGTTCGCTTCCGAAGTAATGGTAAACACTCGCTTCTTTTTCGTTTTTGTATTACGTAGTGTTACGATAATAACTGATTCATTCTCTTCTATATCGTTAATTGTTAGTGTTCGTAATTCTTCCCCTATGCGAGCTCGCATTGCTCCATTTAAAGCAAAAATTAATGTCACTTTCATAAATAGATACGATTCATTCGAAGCGTCATTTAGAAACTTCATAATTTGTTCAATTGACAACACTTTTGCCTTTTAAGTTTATAAAAATACAAGAAAAAATTAGAAAATTTATTTTAGCATTAGCTAAAAAAACGCTAGCATAACACCTTGTACCCCTTGATTGTTTCTCCATTGACAGAATTGTTTTTATCATATTTCTTTTGACTTAGATGGAAGCAGATTTTAAGTCGCTTCTCTCGCGGCTTCCAAAATACCCTCATTTTCTTCAAAAACACTCATCTTCCGACAAAATTCTGTTTTTATTTAATTTGTTGTCATGCGTTACTCGTAAGTAAATAATATATTTGATGTTTATTTAACTGCATAGTAAAGGTGAAATCTATAATTATAAATTGGAGATTGCTGACTTTGATATGAATTGCTGGAGATTGCTCATTTTGTAAACGTTTAAGGAGATTTAGAAAAATAAACAAAAAAATAATTGTATTTTTTTCCTTTAATGGTTATAAAATTTAACTATACAAACAATGTGGGAAAATTCTGAACTGGACCACATAAATCTGGAGTTTCTTCTAAATCTGGGACCAGGTTGCCTCGTGCAAAAAATTTTTTATAGTACAACAACTCATCATCTTCTTCCCACTTTGCCCCGTAATGTTTTACTTGCAATGTTTTGACATTATCAGCCTTTTCTTGCTTTACCTTTACGTCTTATTAACTTTTTTTATAATTCTTAAAACAATAAAACGTATATATACTTATTTTAAATATATTTTTAAGTGCAATTTACTGCAATAGAACTTAACAGTATGTAGGGGAGAGTGGGGAGGGTCTGGATACAGGGAGACAATGGACAATGGACGAATTTCGCGGTTCCAGTAAAAATTTCAGGTTGGTTCTACTATTACAGATCGTCAAGTTGGTAAGGTATCAAATAGTGGTAGTGAAATAAGTTTGAGTTTAGCTGTAGAAGAGGTAAGTGGAAAAGTTTATTTTCGAGTTTTTTCATGTAATATTTTATTTTCCCCTTGTAAGCTTTTCTGCCCAGTCCGTTGTAGATAAATAATTTAAAGTTACTACATATTAAAGCATGTATAAAGCATGGAACTTTTGTTATATCCTTACTTTATTCCGTTGCTATATTTTGAAATTATGAACATTTTTTTGTTTCACATCATGTAGGGAGAGTTTGGACACACTGTCTAGAGTCTTCCTCTATTGTCCAAACATCGTCCCGACACTTCGTTAGCAGAATATTGCAAAAATTAAACCAAGGTTATACAGTCAAATTCCTTAAAAGGCAGTTTCTATCATACAGATTTAAAGAAACAGATCAAGATGAAGCCTTGGTGGATTTTAAGGACGTGGTATTGGTTCTTCCCCCCCACTGACGGAGTTCGATTCCATAACATGATTTACTTTAATTTTAATTTGTCGCAATTTGGTATTGAATAAGTTTTGCTCTGATTTTTTCAATAAAATTCCTAAATTTGTAATATTTTTATAGTGTCCAAATGCACCCCCGTACGTTGTCCAGAATCTCCCCGTATGTGGGGTGACTTTGGACAGATGACCGAAAATTTTCAAAAATTCGTAGCAAACCCATCTTATGGTTTAAAGTGCACATATTTATCTCTTTGCGTTTTCAGAAGTCAACATTATTACCTGAAACTTTGAAATTAGAAATAATTACATTTCTAAGAGACCCAGGCAAAAAAATCTAAAAATTGTCCAATGTCTACCCACTCTCCCCTACCAGTAAAAAACAAAAAATTAAATCTCTAAAATACGTTATAACATCAAATGTTAGGATATCAGGTGACACAAATTACTAATTTCTAATGGTGGAATTGGAGATTGTATACTTTGCTGCAAATCTATCAGTGGAGATTGTCGACTTTGCACTAAATGTCATTTTTAAAATAGGATTTAGCTCCTAATAGAGAAACTAGATTTTTTTAAATAAATGCTGTTTAGTTAAAATTATTTTATGAAAATAACCAGATATTTGGACCAAATGCACAAAAATATTACTTATTTGGCACCATACACTTTAGAATTTCATTAAATGCAGTATTTATATTCTTAAATTCTTAAACCATCCATTGTTATTCTAATGTTATAAAGATTTATATATCTTTAACGCCTAAACATAATATTATTTCTTTCATTGACTATACTTTGACAGATACATAACCTGAAAATCCTTAAATGCCAAATTTTCAAAAGACTTCGTTCCGTACGTGGTGGGACTTTGAGGTGTGGAGCATATTATGTGGAGAAATCAGTTTTTGAATTTCGACATTGATGACGCAATTTGAAACATTCGCCGCGACGACTTTAACAATGTTTGTGTATTGCTATGTTGTAAAAAAACGTTCATTGTTGTAAAAAAATATTATAAATTGTCAATGTGACGAATTTTGTGAGCAATTTTTTTCAAAATGTTTATATAAAGAAAAAAATGAGGGTGTGGCCTCAGTTTGTGGCTGCTTTCAGCATATGCATGGGCGCATGGAGCACCGGAACACTGATCGCCTTCACGGCTAACATTTTGATAGACGGCCAGCTGGAGTACAACGATGTCAGCTACGATAAGACGGAGACCGCTCTTGTGGGAGGCATGATATGCTGGGGTGCCATGGTAATATGCGTTCCAGTGGGTTATTTGCTGGGCATAATCGGACGAAAAATAACGCTGCTCTTGACGATTATCCCCTTCGAAGCCGGATGGGCTATGATGTTCTGGTCGAATAGCACGGGACTGGGGTTGGCGTCCAGATTCATCCTGGGTATGGCGGGAGGTGCGTTCAACGTTGGTGCCCCACTGTACGCCATGGAAATAGCGGAGCTAAAGCTCAGAGGAATGTTCGGGACCTTCTTCCAGTTGTTCATCACGATTGGAATACTGTACGGGCAAGTGATGGGATGGATTTTCCACGACAATCTGGGCGCTTACATAATCTCGCTGTGGGTGATCCCAAACGTCTTCTTCATCGCGTACATTTTCCAACCCGAGTCCCCAGCGTTTCTATTGAAGAAAGGCAAAACGGAGAAATGCGCGAAGGTTTTGAAGTACTTTCGTGGCGACGATTACGATCCCAGCGCCGAGATGAAGGAAATTCAAACGCAAATCGACTTGGAAAGGGACGCGAAGGGCAAGTGTGCGGAGACTTTAAAAACAAAAGCGGCCAAGAAGGCCGTGACGATTACCTTCCTTATGATGTTTTTCCAGCAGTTGACCGGTATTAACGCCGTCATGTTCTACACCGGCACCATTTTTGAGACGGCCAAGCTTCCGATCTCCAATTACTTGCAAGTGGTGATGGTCGGCGTTATTCAGGTGGTGTTCACCCTGATTTCGTCGGTGACCATAGACAGAGCAGGGAGAAAGGTACTGTTTTTGATATCGACCGTCTTGATGGCGATCGGTTTGCTGAGCATCGGTATCTTCTTTACCGTCCAGGACCGCATAGAACCGGAAGAGAGCGTGATACGCATAATGGCCTGGTTCCCCGTGATCGGCGCCTGCATCTACATCATAGGCTTCTCGTTGGGCATGGGTCCCATTCCATGGATGACGGCCGGGGAGATCGTGCCGTCGGTGATAAAGGCACCCATCGCGGCCGCCGCCGGCTCCGTCAACTGGTTTTTCGCGTCCATCGTCAGTTTCGGTTATCCGATTGTTGCAGGGGCGATCGGTACTGATACCACGTTTTATATATTCGTCGTAGTTTGTATCGCCTGCGTTTGTTTTGCGATTTTCTTAATGCCAGAAACGAGGAATAAACCCTTGGATCAAATTCAAAGAGAACTGGCTGGCGAAGCCTAATTTTATACATATTTTATATTATACAATGGTTTTAATAAATTTACTTTGAAAGGTATACCTTTACTTTACTCTATACACTAGGGTGTCCGTTATTTACCATTTTAGCTGACGATACTTTCCCCATTCATTTATCATGGAGTTTTTGCACTTTTTGAAAATTTATTTTTTTCTTGTTTATTATATTCAATAACTTGTTGCTTTATTAATCAATTTCCTAAACAAAAAAATTAACACATACCTCCATAAATGGCCACAATAGACACTTGATAGTTATTGGACAATTAACATTAATTCTGTAAAAACAAGAGTTCTATAAATAGTTACCTACCTTAAAGTCAAATCATTAGATGACGCTGTATACAATTATAACTATCTCAGTCGGTAATAATATAGAACTACTTCATCACAATTGGAATACTGTATGGGCAAGTGATGGGATGGATTTTCCACGACAATTTGGGCGCTTACATAATCTCGCTGATTCCAAACGTCTTCTTTATCGCGTATATTTTTTTGGGCAGCGATTACGATCCCAGTGCCGAGATGAAGGAAATTCAAGCGATATGGAAAGGGATGCTAAGGGCAAGTGTGCAGAGACTTTAAAAACAAAAGCAGCCAAAAAGGCCGCGTGACAATTACCTTTCTTATGATGTTTTTCCAGCAGTTGACCGGTATTAACGCCGCACAGTGTTTCAATTCTCGAAAATATCGGCAAAACCTAAAAAATTGAGATTTTTTTTTTGAGGTAAATTTTGAGTTAGATGGGTAGTTAATACCTGTCTCAATCCTGTATTGAAAAAAATTATATAAAATACGTATATTTTGTCTTGTACATCAGTTTAAACTTGACGCTTTCAGTTGAAGGTACTTTACACGCGATCGCTGCGGAAAATTGTTTATTGTTTAAAAGTGAATAACTTGTGTTTGGTGTGACCGATTGTTATGCGGTTTGATGAAGGGTGATCTTCAGGGTATGAACAATTCAGATATGTATTTGTTTTTCGTAGATTTTGCTTCTACAACGGGTTATCGTAACCAACAAGATCGGTCTGTTAAAATCGCAAACTTTGAATCGAGCTTTTAGAACAATGAAGCTACAAAAATTGTAATGAATTGTAAGGCATCAGTTCAAGATCTGTTGAATAGCTTAGAGTTTTGTCTATCAAGCCATCAATAAATTATCTGCCCCAACTTGCCCCCGGCTCTTTAAAACTACATGTTCTTGGGCGCTCAGGCACGGTTGTGGTATACCACAACCGTGCCTGAGCGCCCAAGAACATGTAGTTTTAAAGAGCCGGGGTATTTTATAAAATACCTCGCGATTTTAAGCCTATTTTGCTTTACAAAATATAAGATTTTTTTTTATATTTGGGTTGCGTTCATAACGTTTACTCGATTCACTCGGATTTAACTCAAAACGTTTAATACAACAGCGGTGTCTAGACTTTCATTTGGGTAAATCGTTCGTGTCTACTAAGATATTTAACAATGATTTTACATATTTAACCCACCTCTTGTAGGTGCGTTAAAACAACTCCGCATGCGCATTGTAGTGTGTTAATGTCAAATTTGAATTGTGGTTATTTGTGTTGACAATTTTTTTATCGAATCCAGTAACGGAGATTGTTTAATATATAGTATAATATAATTATGTAGGTATTAAATAATATCATATAAATGTAATTATAATAAACTAAATTAAGCTATTTTATAAAAAAATCTTTTATTTACATTTTAAAAAGAACCTTTAACGGGTTAAAGTCCATCATTTTGAATTTTGGAATTCTGATTCCAGATTCATTATCAGCGACCACAAAAACCCCTGTATGGTAATTTTCAATTTATTCCGTCAATTTTTTCCATTTTAAATTTTGGAATTCTGATTCCAGATTCGTTATCAGCGACCCCAAAAACCCCTGTATGGTGATTTTCAAATTATTCCGTCAATTTTTTGACAAATATGCCCGCCATTTTGGATCTACCATTTTGAATTTTGGAATTCTAATTCCAGATTCGTTATCAGCGGCCCCTACTCCTTGATATTTTGCCGAAAATTTCGAGATTTAAAACACTGTGGGGCAGTTAGATTTGACTTTATAAAAAGCAAAAAGTGTCATAAATTCATAATATATATATTATGTAAAAGCAACTAAAAAACACAATGGAAAAAACAATGCCAAAACAATTGGTATAGGTACAACAGAAAACAAACAATATGGTGAATTATAAAAACCACCTACATATTAGTATGTCTATGATAAAAACCTTTTGGCTATCTTGGTAGAAATACGCCGTTGCCAAATTCTTGCTGTTATAAACATACCTACCATTATAAAATCGAAACCATCATCATTTTGTGTGTTTATTACTGTTAAATGATTTTTTAAACAATTTATATACAGTAGGGACAAAAATATGCAATGCATTCTCCCGTGTGATTTTTACTTTAATCCCAACGAAATGGAAACGGTTTCAGTTAGAAATTATTTGTATGTGGAAGAATGTAATAATTATGTTTTACAGCGACATCTATTATTTCAGTGTAATATTACTTCAGAGCGTAATAAATCTAAATAAAGTTTTCTATCGATTGCGTTCGTTATGATGTTAACTTAGGTTCCTGATACATAGATGTCACTTAAAAGTTAAAAATTAATAAAACAATCTAAATCTAAATAGTAAACAAAAACCGTTACTTACTATTAATAGCTTTTATACCTTTTTTTATAAATAGGTTTTATAACCAATTAGGGCTGTTTTGTAGTTAGAAGTGCTATTTGTTCTTTGGTTAACATTTTATGTTTTAAACCTCACTAGCACAGAACACTAGGGAGCATTCCATAAAGTAGGTACGTCAAAACTTTTTAGGGGATAATAATAAAAGGGCAGCCTGTCCCTGAGGTAGAAACCTTGCTACACCACTGCCCTAACTTGACCTTTTGGTACACTTTTGTTTTGCTTATAGCACTTAATACCAAAAAAACATGTTACCACGTTTAAGTAAAAAGTACAACACGTATGCCTACAAAATCATATATTTCCGGCTTAATTTGATTATTTTAAAAGATGATAAAAGCCTTGACCTTATTAAAATATCTCAGAAAAAATAAATACACAAATAAGTAAATAAATTTAAATGGAGCACGCCCTAGAAAAATTTATTAACGAATCTAAATAATTTAAAAATTTCTGCTTCTTAAAATAACTTTCACCCAGCGAGGCGCGTTTTCTCTGCACTCAAGACCAAACAGTTGACCATTGAATGTGTTAATAGAAGTTTTGCATACATGTCTCCAGAAGGTTAGTGCCTGTTACAATTGTTTTCCTGTATACATTAATTGCAATAGCAACCTTTTTAATTAATTTTATTTTTGTTGATTTCTTGCAAGAAACTTGTGTGTAATTATTTGGTTTGTTAAGTTTAAGTATTTTAAATATAATAATAATAATTATTATTATAAGTATTAATACTTTTAATGAGGTAGAGAAACAATAAACTATTCTTTGGTATTTATATAAATACATTTTATCTATACCCAAAAAAAATGTATTTATAGGACAACGGTTAAAATAGATTTTTTATTGAAAAAAAAACAATTCTACCCAGTGAAAAAAATAAATTTAAGTTCAATTTTTGTTATTTTAATTTTTATTTTATTTAATATTATGATTATTATTATTATTATTTAAACAATTTTAACAATAAATATAAAGTATTTCTTCCATATTTAGTCAATTCACGTACGGTAAAAAAAACCTTAAGTTAGTTTTTTTAACCTTGGCTACAATAACAATTAACACTTTTGTGTTTATAGCGTTTTTAACAATTAATTTACTCTATTTTAAACCCAGATAAATCATAGCACTAATGTGAAATGTTTCAAAGTTTTAAGTTTCTTTTATAATCTGTTTAACTTGGTGACTAAATTTTAAAGATATTCTAAATAAATGGTTGAAAAAAAGAAATAAGCGATTAATAAATAATATTATTTATCTCCACGCGGTCTATAATTTAAACTTTATTGTTGTCAACATTCGATAAAGAAATACCTACCTTGTTATGGCCTAGGCCGATAAAAATTTTTATGAGGCAAGTAATTAGTTCGATTTTTTCTCGCTAGGGGCATTGTTTTGACAAATTAATCCTTTTCTAAGAAATTAACGTACTAAACTGCATTAATTTATTTATAATAAGCACTAATTTGTTTTTACTGTTAATGTTTAATATTTTTCATTAAATTATTGTAAAATTAAATATGAAGAATAAAACAAAAAGTGAGGTTAGGCAACCAAGAAAACGCACAATTCTTTTTCTACGATTTAAATTATCTTTAAGTTTTAATTTGCTTTAAGTTTCCAGTGAAATTAAATGTCAAACACAGCTTAAACATTCCAAACTACCTATTTTTTAAATAAAAATCCAAACAAATTGAAATTAGATACCTACCTATTTATTAAACAATTAATTTAATTCAATGTAATAGCAAAAATCCATGTCTACTTAAATCATTTTGCTAGGTATTGTCAAACTATTACTGCTTCTAAAAGCAATAATAATTATTGTACATTTAATGTAATCTTGTAGCTAATAAATAAATGAGATTCTAAAAAAGTGAGGTTAGGCCGCTTTGATGTTCAATTAAATTGACCTATATAAAGTGCTTTGAAGATAAAATGTTGTATGCCATTCGGCCAAGAAGTGCCTTTTTGTGCTTCTCTCAATTGTAGGCCTCCGCTACGCGTCGGCCTTCAAACCTTGAGCTTAGCACAGAAAGCCTTACTTCTTAACCTAATGACATAAATAACTATTAACTTAAATTTAAAATTGAAATGGCTATAAAAAATAAAAAAATGTACCAGTTTTTTTATTAAATTTTCAGTGTCTTATTGGACAAAAACCTACGATTTGTCAATGAAGATTGTAATGAGATTATTTTTATTTACAGAATAAACTTTTTTACTGTTATAAAATTCTCATTCAACAATGAAGCAGCAATGTTGAGCTTTTATAAAAAAAAATTCATCCAACAAAGTAATAGTTGTTATCATATTGTCATGGCAATAATAAATACTTTATGTTAATATTAAATCTTTGTCGAACTTAAAATGTTGTTGTTAAATCATAGTTGTATGTGAATTGTCCTTGCTTTATAAAGTAATGCGCAGTATAGTAAAATGTTTATTTTACTATGGCATATTTCTTTTTTAAATCACTATCGTTGTAATTCAAATTAATTTTATTTCAGTTAGAAAATCTTTGTTAATAACTTACGTTAAGAACAATAACAAAAATATTTTATTGCTATAAAAGGACTTTTTTAATATTTACTATTGTTTTGCAATGGTAACAAATTTTTTGTTATTTCCCTTAAGGGGGGAAAGGGCCAGCGCTCTTCTTGGTAAACATAACTTTATAATCCACTGTCTGTGTTATGATTTTATTTCACTTGTGCGAGTGAAGTGTGTTCAAATCTAGCATGATAAAAATATCAAAAAGATCACCAAGAAAATTTAAATTTCGACGTTTTCTAAAAGAAATATTTAAGGTCTATTCTATAAACGAAGCAGACTTGTTGTTTAAAAAGTGAGTTCATATTTTTTTTATTTTGTACATCATATAATATGAGTTCTTTTTTTGTGTTATAATAAATAATTTGTTTTAATGCCTTGCAATTATTTAAAAAAAACTACCCAACAGTAGGTTGAAAATGTGACCATTGTTACATTGAAAATAGTTTATTGAATTAACAATTAATTTGTTGTTAAATTTACATAAATTTTAATAATATTATAAAAAAAGTTTTATTTTGAACGAAAAGGGATTTACACTTTATAAAAACACTTGACCACCCGAAATTTTATGTTCAGTTATTGGCATTATTTGCATAACATGTTTATTTTTGTCAATTCACGACGTTCATGTCAAAATTTCGAAAAATATTTCTTGGACCGAGCATATTTACGTGTAGCTTAAACGACTGCGAAAACAATTTGAAACGTGATAGTAGCATTTTCAGGCCAAATCGATGTGAATACGGATCTACTTCATGTGATGAACGTAAGATATAGACTAAAACTAATTTAGAACAATATGGTGTGAAAAATCTACATAAACCAGTAAAAGTCATCATCATCTCATTAAATGAATAACAACCAAAAACTATTGGATACAAAAAGCTTTTTTTTAGATGGACCTTTGGAAGGGGAAGCCAAAGAAAAACCTGGGGATTTACTTAAGACCACCATAGGGGATTTTGGAATATGGCAGTTCAAAATTTCATTGCTGATGGCTCTCTTGAAGTTTCCGATAGCCTGGTTCCAATTGAGTATAGTATTTCTAGCCCCTCCAACGTCTTTCAGATGCGCATCGCCCAATCATCAGTTGCACGATGAACTCAATTTTATTTCGCCGAAATTTGACATCAAACACGTAAGTTAGTTAAATGGTATTTTTAAACTGCAAATAAAAGACTACAATTGCAGGAAGGTTTAAATACAGGGTATTGCGAAATGATAGATCCAGAAGATATGCACAAAACCCTACCATGCGTTTTTGGTTATGATTACAATAGGACAGTTTTTCACAGTACCATCATAACGGAATGGGACCTCGTTTGTGGACACCAACGACTCATAGATTTGGCTCAAATCACTCTGATGTTGGGTGTCATAATCGGTAATATATTTCTTTTACTCCCACCTTTAAAACACCCTTTATCGTACATGTTTCTATGACACTAAGTGACCTTTTAAATACACATTGACAAGTTGTGGCTTTACGGCGCTTTAGTCACGGGCTGAAGTTAGCAACAGATTTTTATTCACGGGCTGAAGTTAGTTTTAAGTTAGTTGACAGTTGTCAAATGTCATACAATCGTTAAAATAAAGTACCTTTCTTGTAAAATAATACTAAATGTGAAAATTATTTTATTATCTCAATACAAAAATACAAAAATATTAAATAGTTTCTCAACGCCAATATTTGAAAAGTTTATATGAACATTGTACTGACCTTTTAATTTCGCCGGCAGTAAACTATAACTTAAATTCGGGCACGGACTCTACTTTAAAGTCGACTTTATTATGTTTTATGAAGATCCTCATAAAACATTTCCTTTACTTTCACTGTGAAAAACTGTCAATTTTCAAGATACATTTCAATTTATAACCTTTATAATTGTGTTTATAAAATGTAAAAATGTGAAATTTGACAGTTTCCCCTGTTGTTTCATAGATGGCGCTCTATACAAATTTTTGATATAAATCATTTTAAGATAATAATAAGTATTTGTCGTAGAAAAAGTATACACTGTAAAAAATATTACATGAATATCCATGGCATTAGGTAACCTATATTAAATCATGTAATTTTACTAACCATATGTAAATTTCCAATATGATATGTGATATTACAAATTATATTATTTGTGTATTTCCCATATTTTACATGCAGCTTTATGTAAAATTTCGTAAATTTACCCTAAAATCATAAGGATTTTTACTTAATTTTACATAGAAGTTTATGTAATATTTTTTTAATTACTTTAATATTATGCTATTTTACATTCTTGTTTATGTAATATATTTTAAAATTAAACTATTTTACTTATTATTTCATGTAATATTACTTACATAATAATGTAATATATTCAGGTTAATACATGCATACTTACCAGAATTTGATGTTTTACTGTAATGGTATTTTAATTAAAATTAGGTAAAAAATACAAAATTTTAAATATATATTTTAATAAAATATTCTTAAATAACATTTAAGAAAATAGTAAAAATACATTAAATATAAACATAAAACTTTCCTTTTTAAAACATATAATTAACTTTTAAGGTTATTTTAGAAATATAAAAATACTATTATTTTATATTTTTAAAATTACCTTTTACATATAAAATTTTCCTTTTTAAAACATATAAACATATAAAGGTTATTTTAGAAATATAAAAATACAATTAAAATTATGCCTTTTATATTTTAAAAATTACCTTAAACCAAATAAATAAAAATCTTAAAATTAAAATACAAGATCTAATCTAAAAATAAATAAAAAGGTACTAGATAAAACATAATAATATATTATATATAATATATTTTATTATATTAATTAATCTAATTTAAAATTTGTCAATTTATTTATGAATGTTAAAACTTTATTTTTTCCTTTACTTTTGTTTGATTTTGTGCCGCTTCCAACAGGGTGAATTTTAAAGTGAAACCTTTGCAAAAATTCCATTGTATTGCTTATGTTCTTAACGTACTGCACATTAAAAATATAATACAAAATGAACATCATCAAGAATGCCTCATAAAACGATGACGCTATACATATTTCTTCGTTTTTCATAAATACCTTGAAGTTTGACTCTGGAAATCAAATCAAATGTTATTATTAAGTTTAGATATATATTTTAAATCAATTAAAATAAACGGATAAACAAAATGTACCTTATTGGAAATGGTAGAGAAATCTTCTTTAAAATATTTAGAAATAATTTCTATTGAAAATTTTAAGTCGTTGTCAGATACCTACCATTGTTTTGGCTTTTTTCTCATGCACACGTTTTCTTTAAACTTTTCATTTATTGCCACTCCAGTTAGCTCACCAAAATGCCATAATAAAGCTTATTATATTTTTAAAAGTACATGAAAAATAAGATCAAGAAAAAAACATCGTTGATTAAATAAAAATTATCGTATACTTACCAAAATTATACAAATAGCACTAAAACTAATCACGTGTTGCCTCGTAGAAGTCTGGAAACAAAGAGAGTGCATCCCACCAATACAACATTAAAGTGGTGGTGGCAGCATGCTGCGTCTTACTTACATGAGCATGCTAGGAAAATTTACATTATTGTATGTATAAATATAGATATGCGTGTGAATACACAAAAGTTTATTTAAATATACAGAAAATACTGTATTTTTTAGTGAAATTACAATAATTTACATGATTTTTGTAAACTTACTTTATTTTACAAAAATGTACATGTAATTAAAATATTTACATCAGTTTTATTGGAAATATTAATATAAGAATAATGGTAATTTATTGTGATTTTACAATTATTTTTTACAGTGTAGTATGCACCTCGTTTATAAACTTTTCTATACACTCATTAACTTAAGCACTCGCTCGCAAGCTCGCACGTGCCTAAATTAAATTCGTGTATAAAATGGCGTTTATCAAACTTGATACATAATATACTACTATGTTGCCTAGTTCATATCTACTTAACTACGGTTTCGCGAAAGGATCGAACGGTCGATTTGCAAGGGTTCAAGAAATCGATTGAAACTTTTTTACCTTATTTATACATTAAAATACAGTATTTAAAAAAAAAATCAAAATTTCGCCATTTTAGGCTTTTAGGCAAAAACAAAGGGGTGTCAAACTCTTTATTTTTTTAAGTTTAGGATTAATTTCAAGGTCCCAAACAAATTCCTAAAATAGAAACAAAAAGGCATTTTGCCTAAAATCCGGTCCTTGTATATTATGTAAAATATAATACATTATCTTATAAAACTAAATTAAATTGCCTCCCGCGCCCCCTGTATGTTAAAATCTAAAAAAAATAGTACGTATATATTTTGCCATTAATAGGGTCTACATTTTTTCTTAATTTCAAATCTATACGTTTGCAAACAGTGCACTTGCAAACAAATGTCCAAAATTTTTTCGATTTTTAAGCGAAACCATAGTTAATACATAATTTTTAGGTAATATCTTGTTTGGTGTCCTGGCAGACCGCAGAGGCAGAAAAACAGTCTTAATGACATGCATATGTCTGCAATCGCTGTTTGGAATGATCTGCGCATGGGTACCATGGTATTGGGGCTTCGTGATAGCCCGATTAATGCTGGGTATATCGAATGGAGGTACCATGGTAACCTCCTTTGTGATGTGCATGGAGGTGGTAGGTGGCAAGTGGAGAACCATCGTGCCCATTTTGTATCAAATTCCTTTCGGTTTTGGTAACTCCATCATGTCTGGGATTGCTTATTATCTTCGCGATTGGCGGTATTTCCAAACCGCCATATCGGTGCTGTCCATGTTTTATATCGTCTATATATGGTACGTACTATGCTCCACACCTTAAAGTCCCACCTCGTGACCACGTACGGAACGCAGTCTTTTAAAAATTTGGCATTTAAGGCTTTTCAGGTTATGTATCTGTCAAAGTATAGTCAACGAAAGAAATAATATTATGTTTAGGCGTTAAAAATTTATAAATCTTTATAACATTACAATAACAATGGATGGTTTATGAATTTAAGAATACAAATACTGCATTTAGGTAATGAAATTCTAAAGTGTATGGTGCCAAATAAGTAATATTTTTGTGCATTTGGTCCAAATATCTGCTTTTCTTCATAAAATAATTTTAACTAAACAGCATTTATTAAAAAAAATCTAGCTTCTCTATTATGGAATAAGAATATCTGTTTTAAAGGTAGGTTAATATATTATAACAAAAATATCATCTAATTTTTTAATTTTAAGGTTAGAAAAATTTATTTTGACCAAAATAAATAAGTATTTTGGATTATTTAAAAGACTGTATAATATGGTATTTAAAAATGTGGTAGTTTTTCTTATCCAGCTTAAAGTGTACCTACATAAAGTTTTGTCAATACAAATAGTTAAAAAGCTTCGACTGAACTTGATCTACATCAAAAAATCATTATAACTTTAAAAATTTTAATAAATCACATGTCATGGGAGTATTAAATATTTTCACATTGCAAGTTTCTCTAAAAATTGTTTGTTTTCTTATAATCCAACTTAAAGAGGTATGCACAAGTTTTGTCGTTAGAAGTATAAAAGCTTCAATTTAATTTGATCCATATTCAACAATTATTTAGTATACCTATATTTATTTATGACCATATTAACACACTCTTCCAAATAATCCACTTATTTATTTTGGTCAAAATAGATTTTTCTAACCTTAAAATACAAAATTAGATGATATTTTTTGTTTTAATACATTAACCTACCTTTGATACAGATATTCTTATTTCATAATAGAGAAGTTAGATTTTTTTTAATAAATGCTGTTTAGTTAAAACTATTTTATGGAGAAATGTAGACCCAATGCACAAAAATATCACTTATATTGCACCTTACACTTTGGAATTTCATTAAATGCAGTATTTATATTCCTAAATTCTTAAACCAACCATTGTTATTGTGATACTATAAAGATTTATTAACTTTTAACGCTTAAACATAAGCGGTAACACTATAAATATTATTTCTTTCATTGACTATACTTTGTCAAATACATAACCTGAAAAGCCTACGTGGTCACGTGGTGGGACTTTGAGGTGTGGAGCATAGTACACGATTTATATGGTTCTAGGAATTCATTCGTTTGTTTTTTTATTAGGTTGATTCCAGAGTCTCCAAGATGGCTCGTGGCTGTTGGAAAAACTGAAGAGGCAATGGTTATTCTGAAGGAAGCCGCCATTTGTAATGATATAGATCCCCAAACAGTATCCGAAGCTATGACGGATTATTCCAATATTCCAAGCAATAACAAGAAAAACAAATCATCATTTGCTGCTCTATTCAAGACCTCGAATTTAAGAAAAAGAAGTTCATTGTTGTGTCTTAACTGGTTGGTATACACTGTTTAAAATATCTGTGGTGTGAAGAGTAATCTTAAAATGGTGTCAAAATCCAACACCAAGTGGTGTTAAAATAACACCATGAATTATGGTTGAAAATGTTTTATACAGCAAACACCAAAACGGTGTTTATCTAAAAATATTTGAGAAGTGCACCTACACAGAAACAAAGGAATCAACTGTGGGAAGGTTAATATTAACAAAGAATAGTTTGACGGTACTAAACCAGATAGTTATTTTTTTTTTAATTGGTTAAAGTAACCCAGAAAACTTTAGTGAAACCAACCCGCTGTATGGTTCAGTTTACTAAATATGTTGTTTGTAAAATAAGAGTTACTTCAACCTAAAGCACTCTGTTAAAACGATTAAAACAATTTGCCGTGCATTCCTTGTTGCATAGTGTGTACCGATCGCGGCAAAGGCGGTGTGGATCACGTGATGTTCTTAAATCTCGCCTCTGTTGACTTACATGAAGAGTATATAAGCTCAGGTAGTCCTTTGCTTTGGTGTGACACTACAAGTTGTTCGATACTAAAGAGACCTTAAATAGGTGGAAACAGCTGTCAATATTTGAAGTTATCTTTAGCGAGTTGAAGGTTCAATTTTCTGGAATAATACAACTGGTTATATACTTGTAATGCGTCAAGGAACTTCCTGTTTCCTTTTTTTTCTGTGTAGTATGATTTAATTTGACTAAAAACACATTATATTTAACACTGAAAGTTAAATTTACACCATTTTAGTATTTGAATTTACACTGGACCAACGAACCATATTTAACACCATTTTGTTTGTATCGATATAGACCATGTATGGTGTTAATTTGGTGTTAAAATGGTCCTGAAATTTTGAACAGAGTAAATGCAACTTTTTTTCTTAGGTAGATTGATGAACATTTTTATTTTCTTTTCAGGACAATTGCCGGTATAACCTTCTACGCCTTCTCCCAATACTTGGGACACGTGTCCCAAAACCTCTACCTTACTGTGGCTTTTGGAGGTCTAATCGCTCTACCCGGAATTTTGTTCTGCATTTACGTGGTGGATCATTTCGGTAGAAGGGTCACGATAGCCTGCGCCAATCTCCTCACAGCTTTGTGTTTCGTTGCCATCATATTTGTGCCCAGAGGAAGGTTCGCTCATGATTGGCCCAGAATCGCTTTTTCTGGTGATGTTCTTAAATCTCGCCTCTGTTGACTTACATGAAGAGTATATAAGCTCAGGTAGTCCTTTGCTTTGGTGTGACACTACAAGTTGTTCGATACTAAAGAGACCTTAAATAGGTGGAAACAGCTGTCAATATTTGAAGTTATCTTTAGCGAGTTGAAGGTTCAATTTTCTGGAATAATACAACTGGTTATATACTTGTAATGCGTCAAGGAACTTCCTGTTTCCTTTTTTTTCTGTGTAGTATGATTTAATTTGACTAAAAACACATTATATTTAACACTGAAAGTTAAATTTACACCATTTTAGTATTTGAATTTACACTGGACCAACGAACCATATTTAACACCATTTTGTTTGTATCGATATAGACCATGTATGGTGTTAATTTGGTGTTAAAATGGTCCTGAAATTTTGAACAGAGTAAATGCAACTTTTTTTCTTAGGTAGATTGATGAACATTTTTATTTTCTTTTCAGGACAATTGCCGGTATAACCTTCTACGCCTTCTCCCAATACTTGGGACACGTGTCCCAAAACCTCTACCTTACTGTGGCTTTTGGAGGTCTAATCGCTCTACCCGGAACTTTGTTCTGCATTTACGTGGTGGATCATTTCGGTAGAAGGGTCACGATAGCCTGCGCCAATCTCCTCACAGCTTTGTGTTTCGTTGCCATCATATTTGTGCCCAGAGGAAGGTTCGCTCATGATTGGCCCAGAATCGCTTTTTCTGGACTGGGAATTGTTGGACTCTCGGTGAGTTTCAATCGACTCAACAACCTGTTAACAATCTTTTTTTTTTTAATTATTTTATCTAGGGTGTTATGTAATTAATGTTATATATTAAAATGGGTTGTTCCTTAGGGTCCATAAAGAAGCACCTGAAACTTTTTTTTTCTAAATTCCAAAGTCTAAAAATAATTTATAATAACCTTTATCCTACCAAAAAGTACGCCACTGATCAACTAGGAACTAGGTTAATCTGGTGGATTTATTATGTTATGGTTGGTAACAACAGTGTTTCCAAAATCTCTTAAAAAAGTTGACAAACATTGTTTAAATTTAGCTTAATTACAAAAATGACAAAATTAACAATGCAAATTGTCAATTTGGCGTTTTTATTAATTGTTGGTTATGTCATTTTTGTACTGAAGGTAAATTCAAACAAAATCTGCCAACTTTTATGACAGAATCTAGTGCATTTCTTTTAAATTTTAGGTTATGTTTTCAAATTGTAAATATCTTAACTAAGGGAAGTGCTTTTGGATTTATTTACACAAATTAAATGTTTAAAGTTTAACCTGTGAACTGGTCCCAATTTCATCTGAGTAAACAGAGAAAAAAACTGATGAAAAAATTAATTTTGTGGTTATGGATTTCAAATTTCAAAGGTACTAAATTTTCTAATCATTGCTTAAGCTAATAGCTGGATCAGTAAATAAATACAGAGCTTTAAGGGCATAAAACTTTTGTATTTATTGAGTTTTTATTAATTTTTTGCAAGAAAAATTTTTAGTAACAATTTTTTACATCTGGCAACGCATAGCTACTTTGTTGGTTGGTATCTATGTACTCACAAAATACAAGTGTGCAGAGATAAACCAAGTGTGTAACCAGTGGCGTATCACAAAAAATATAAAAAACTTCTAACGCATATTTTTTCTTTATCTTTGGAAAAATGTTTTTTTAAATATTTTTCCTTTATTCCTTATGTCAAAAGGTATTCAGTATTTTAATATATAACATTAATTACATAACACCCTGTATACCTTAGAGAGCCATATCAGGTTTAAACGGCCAAGAATTACCCTTTCACTTTTGGAAAAGTTTTGCCAATAAATGTACAATATGGGACCTTAATATTCCCATGATTTTCGTGCAATCGCGATGGACAACAGTAAATGATCAAATTGTGCCCAATAATATGGTTTATGTTAGTTGGGTTTAATTTTGAGAGTGTTTGGGCATGTAAAACGATGACAAATTTTGTATGTTTATTTGGGCAAATATTAAGGCTATTGAAAAATTGACCAATGACATGACACGGTGGTCAAAACTAAAGTATAGGACAAACAAAAATGCCAACCAAAACTGATAGCATAATCTGATTATAGAATCTTTTGGTAACACTGACACTGGCAGATATGTACATTACTGAAATATGGATAAATTACATTATAAATACAAAATAATGTAAAATACAGTTTGCAATATCTTATTTATTGTTTTAAGGTACCTAATACAAAACTAATAAATAACTAAAGATTCTTTGAAGCAAAATCGATTACTGCTTGCCTTCAATTTTCAGTAAAACTTTTTCTTGGGTTTTACATGGAATTGTTTTCAACATGGAAACCACAGACCTACAGGTAGGTCTGTGATGGAAACAGTATTTTTAAATTCTTTAGTCTCTGTACAAACATGCTTCTTACATCTAGCGATATCCCCTAGAAAGGAAGAGCATATCAAAACTTTAGTTCGTTCGTCCGTCCTCTTCCCTTAATAATTTTTTATGCCCTTTATATCTTGCCATTTTGCTTATAAAGCACATACATTCTTGGCTGCCGCGAAATTCTCTAGCAATTTCTAAATTTTGAAAATTTGGCAATTGTGGCTATGCAAAAATACCGTTTTTACCATATTGAAGTAGGTAATTTTGAATCACTTAAGTAAAAGTGTACGTTTGAAAAAGTCTGCAGTAGGTAATTTTTATATTTTCTCAGAAACCCTAAACTCTGAATTTTTCGATTACCAAAAACAATTTTGTCTCCACAGCTAGCACATACCTTCTTTCGATTTTGTTCATGGCTTAACTTGAATTTCGGTTTAATTTTCATTATAAAATACTATTTTTAACTTTATAAAGTATACATTAAATAAACAACTAAAGCAAAATGTCATTTGCGTTATAACGTATAGCAATTTTTTTCATAACCACCTTAATTATTGTTTTACAAAATTTGCAAGTTGTAATTATTTCATAGACAAACTTCCAGTATTTTTTGTTATAAAAAATATTTAAGATATAAATCGTTTTTTTTTTTGTTTTGTGTGGTAAAAAATAATAGGTGACTCAATAAATTAATACTGGGGAGTAAAGTAATTTAAATGATACAAAGTTTATTATTTTGTTTAATTTTATTAAAATTGTACAGGTAGTTTTAGTACAATAATTGCAAAATTATATATAGAAATAGAAAAACAAAAAAGTTTGCAAAACTTTAAAATAGGATCAGCTGGGATTTTGATAAATACATGTTAGTGTTACCAAAAGGGTCTATAATCAAAATATGTTATCAGTTTTGGTTGGCATTTTTGTTCGTCCTATACTTAAGTTTTGACCACCGTGATGATATTGGTAAATATAAATAATTAAAATTGGAAAAAAATATAACTATAAAATATAACTATAGTCAGGAAAAGTGACTAATTTCGACGACATACTATATCAAAGTCAGTATTGATATAATTTTTAATTTGTCAATTATGACAGTACACAGAAAAGAAAACAGCATTTCCAAACATGAATCTCCTAATATTTTTATTTGGACTGGCTTACGAATATAAAATTGGATTCATAATGATACTAGGTATAATTTACGCCATTTTGGACATCTCAATGGACAATAATAGCTAAATCCGATTTATTGTAAATAATAAAATATTAAATCATTTTACAAGAAAAACTTGAATCTTTTAAGCAGAAATTAAAACCCCAAAAAATTTTGATGATTTGTCTATTGATTCTTTCTACATTGAAATTGAAATAGTCATTCCTGCAATATATCCAAAATTGTGAACAAAGCTACCACAAACATTGGCACGCCCATTCGAAATTCCCAAGCTAGGTTGAACATGAATATTATGGAAAGCATCGTCAGCATTTTCTTCGAAGGTTCACATATTTCCCTTTTATTTAGTAGTTAAATATCATTAATTCAAACTGTCATATTTACTGATAAAGTAGGGACACTATAGTATACATAGAATGCTTCAAAAGCTGCTTGGTCGCCTTTTTAAATTTAAAATATCACCCAGAATTGGACGGCTTTCTGCAGAATGGGACCAACCCACATCATGATGAAACTGAGAAAAAAGCTATCAAAGATTTTAATAATTTTAAAATTACCTGTAAATTTCATGCCGATTTTGGACTTACGGAGGTTTAAGGAATATAATTTAATAATTTCATCAGGTGGATTTTGTGATGTTATGTGTAAGGGTGACGAAAAAAATTGGCTTTTGTTGGTTGGTTCCTTTCTGCAATTTATGAAAACTACTATCTGATGTATGTATGTATTTAAAGAAAAGCGACAATTATTTATTTCCAAACAAAATACAACTGATATTACTATTATAATGGTAATATGAATTAATTTTAATTCTATTTGAAATTCGTCCACATCATCTTCCAACCCCACCTCATCTTGTAAGCTACCAAAAAAATGCATCAAGACTTTATATTTTGCAGAAGCAGGAAATCTTTAAAGACTTTGGTAGTGGGTCTACCAGCCTGCTTTTTTACAAAAAAGATCCAACCCACTTGCAGAAATTCTACAGATTCTAATTCTGGATGAGTAATCCACACTATTATTGAATGTTGGTTGATTAATAGATTTCACTACACTTGCATTTTGGCTATGACCTATTTTGCAGATAAATTATACATACTTAATTAGTTCATAGGCTAAAAATCTCGATTTTTTTGGTTTTGTGGGTTGGTTTCTTTCTGCAGAAAGGCGTCCAATTGTACTTACAGTAAAACATTTCTACCCTAGATCTCAATGCCAGCGTTGTACCTCTTCACCGGGGAGCTGTTTCCGACTGTGATCAGAAATGCGGGTGTTGGGGCTTCCGTGATGTTTTCCAGAATGGGGTCGATGGTGGCGCCTCTGGTGATAGCCTTGGAAGGTACCTCCACGATTTTACCGCTGCTCTTCTTGGCGCTAGCTGCTATCGTAGAAGCAGTTCTGGTGCTACCTCTACCGGAAACCAAAGGGCAGTCTTTACCGGAAACTGTGGAGGACGTGGAAAGAAAAAAGTAAGAGGTGGATGTTTTTGGGTTTTTTATTTGTGTTTTTGTTTTAGAATGCAACCACCCGATCCTGAATATGAAAATATTCCGAAGGAAGAGTTTGAAAATTGATGTGATATAAATTAATTTGTAAGTGTATAAGTATAGTAAGTTTTTTCTAAATGTCATGATTTGGAAATGCCATATTAAGTTGTAAGTAAATATTGTAAATATTATTTTAAAATAAATTGAATACACATTGTTATTTATTATAATACGAGTAAATAAATGAAATACTGCACTGTAAGGTGTTACCATTTTTTACTGCATTTTTTATTAAGATAAATTTAGTTTAGCAACAATTAGTTTGTGTTTGTTATTTGTTAAAATGGGGACACCATTTAAAAATTTGCTGTTTTCTTCCCCAAAAATATTCTCCCCAATATCTCCATCAACAAATTTTGTTATCAATAGCACGTAAGTTTATTTTATTAATTAATATTATATTAATATATATTAGAAATACATATTTATTATTATTTTAGAAAAAAATCGAATATAGCCAAACAGTTGTTTAACAACGATGCTGGTGCTATCAAAAAGAAAGTTCAAAGCAATGTTAAAATTCATGTAACAGATTATGATTTAACCAAACTAAAGGTTCCCACACCCACAGATATATTATTTAACACTCCAAATAAAAACGAATTGTTAACAAACGGTGTGAAAGAGAAACAGGAGTTCAATATTTTAGGAAAAGGTGCCTTTGGTACTGTTATTCGTGGTATAAATAAAGGTAAGTACCAAATGGGTTTTTTGAAAAAAATCTACTGTTCCAACAAGACCAAGATGTTTTGAATCAGATGGTACTTTAAAAAAACACCAGAGAGGGGTTAAATCACAACTGCTTGTTACCTATATCTTGTTGGGACACCCTTCCCAAGTAGCGCAACTGTCATAAAATGCTAAGTGCAATAGGTTTTAAGGAGGTAGTGTGCTTTTGTCGTAAACACATTTTAGCTGACAATTTGTACTTATTGATATAACTTTTTTACTTAATTGTTGTACTTTGTAAATTCCATATTGCTTTGATCAAATACTTGTTTGGAATATTGTTGCCTTATAAATCACAGCATAGGTCATTATTGATTTTAAAAACTTTATAAGAAAATTATTATCTTTTGTCAACCAATAACTTTCGGATGCAAAAATCATAAACAAATACCACTTTACTGATAAAAGTTGATTGCCGAGACCCAAAACGTATGATGCCCACTAAAATGCGCTTAATGTAAACAATTTTAAAGGCTTTGGCTAAATTACTTACCCGATCTACATTCCGTTTTTTAAGCCATCTCTTATCGAAAAAATATTCTCTAGCATTAACATGCTTGTAAAAACCAATTTTTTTTAAATTTTTTTAAAAATATTATCTATTCGTATTTTATATTAAAATTATTTCTTCATGGCGGATCAATATTTTCTAATTTAAATGGCGATTTCAGTTATAAAACAATGTACTCTTGCAAAACAACTGCTAAAAAGTTTAATTGCTTTAAAAAGTGTTTACAACTATTTGTTAACACTAATAAGCCCCATGACTGCATTTTTCAAGGCAATCATAAAACCAATTGGAATTTTGTGCGAGCATTTTAAAACAACTTTGCAGTATTTTCATCAAAAGTATCGCCATCAGGGCTATAATGCTTTGTCAGATGATAACACCTAAAAATTGTCTTAATTGCTGTGATAGAATGATGCGGATTTAGATCTTGGTTGGAACAGGACGATGAAGGAATACTATGAGTATTATCAACCGGATGTTTTGCCAACAACACAGAAGAACAACTTTTAACAGCTCTTACAGTAGCCAACTTTGGTTTTCTATAAAAATTTCCACTTTTTTTAACTTTTAACCACTGCTCTAAAAAACTCCTCATGCATGGCGGCGACATGTTGACAAGAGTTAATTTCTTCGCGATTATCACGACAAAAACCTAATAATAAAGCTTCATTATCTCAAGACCAACTAGCACAAAGTAGAGCTGTAATAAAACAAAAAGCATGTTTTCATGCATTTATAAAGCTTGCATAAAACAGTAAAGCATTATCGGTGGCAACCCTTTGCTACTTGGGATAGGTTTCTTTTATTAGTTAAATTATACTAAAAAAATAACCTTAAAAAAATGTTAATCGTTGAATCGTTGAATTGGTTGAAAAAACAAGTTTTAAAAACGTTATTTTACTTAGATTTAGGTTAATTTACTAGTTGTGCCACTTGGGTTTAGAATGACTAAAGTTATCATTGTAGGTTCAATAGTGGCAATAAAAATAGTGAAAAATAAAAACAACAATCACATAAACGAAAAAAACGCACTGCATCTTCACCACGAAAATATAGTAAAAACCATAGATATAACGTTTAGTAGTACTCTAAACTATTTTTTAGTTTTGATGGAGTATTTTCCTAAATGTATTTCGTTACAGCAACTTCTCGATAGCGAAGATGATATAACTGAAAGCCAAAAACTTAAATTTGCTTTGGATGTTACAAAAGGTTTGCAGTACTGTCATGAAAACAACGTTTTGCATCTTGACGTAAAGCCCAAAAATATGCTTATTCACGATAATTGTTGCAAATTGTGTGATTTTGGTAATTCAGTTTTGAAGGATGATCTAAGAAATTTTAATCATCAGGTTAGTAAATTTACCAACCAAGCTTTAATGCATGAAAAAATGATCTTATTGAATAAGATCATTTTTTCTAAATAGGGTAAACCACATAGTTATTTGACACTTAAGTCCATACAATTTTTATATAAACCTAACAACGTTTTAGGAATTTTTTTTATTTCGTTTTTGTAAATATCATATAATTCATTCATTTGTTTCTCGGATCCCTTTTCTGGATTCCGAAGGTAACTACTAATTCCTTGGTCTGACTTCTGAAATAGTTTGTTGCAAATATCATTAAGTGTGGTATCTCTAGTTTGTAAAGCATTTATAATGTTTAGGCCGGAACAGGATGATTTATATAATATATATTATATCTAATATTTTTTCGGGTGGTATTTTAAAAGTATTTTCCGAATTTATTAATTTTGTTGCCATTAGTTTTTTATGTTCTCTATCATGCACTGTATTTAAATCACTGTTATTCTGCAAGATGTCCTTTGACGAAGAAATCACTATACTACTTACTCTAAAAATGAATTAGTCAAAAATGTCATAGCGAAAAAGCAGCCACTAATAATTCTCGTCAACAGCAATTTGTATCCAGGACATTTAGCAGTCAATTCCTATGAAATATTATTCGCTGAATCCGAAAATGTCGTCAAAAGTTATACAAGTAGAATATAATCAATCTTACATATAATATGGAATTAACTATATCTCAAATACTGCTTAACTTTTATAGTTTTTGAAGGGCTATTCGCATTCAGGGGACAATTAGGGATACAAATAGTACAATAATAGAAATTTACATTTTTTACCAACCAGTAATTGGACACTGGCCATTTTACTGTTTGTTTTCACAATTAAAATTAAAACGCACACTGATCTGTACACTTTTTAGAAATATTTTTTATTGTAATTTAAACACAGCCCTGCTCTTAACAAAAAAACAAAACAAGAGCATCTCAGTGAGATAGTTATAATTGTAAACAGCGTCATCTAATGATTTGACTTTAAGGTAACTATTTATAGAACTCTTGTTTTTACAGTAATGTTAATTGTCCAATTACTGTCTACTTTTCCCTATCTCTGAAACGTAAAATGATTCAAATTTATCATTATCATTTTTTATGTTTTAGGGAACTATTGCTTACACAGATCCTGAAATTTTACTGGGAAAATTACCATCCACAAAAAGTGATATTTATTCTTTGGGAATCGTTCTTTGGCAAATTAAGTACCGGAAGCTTCCCTACGAGAACACTGATAATAATGAAACCATTATTTACAAGGTACCTCACAATAAAATGTGGTTTACACGTTAATACACAGTAAAAAATTTTGCCCGTGTAAATTTTGGGTGACGTTCATAATATCGAAATTCACTTTATCGAATTCAAAATATCGAACACTTTTTATCGAAAATCAAAATATCGAAAATACAAAATGTCGAAAATCAAAATATCGAAAATTAAAATGTCGAAAATGATAATATCGAAATTTTATTTAATCGAATTTTCAATTTATCGAAAATAAAATATCGACGTTCATAATATCGAAATTCACTTTATCGAATTCAAAATATCGAACACTTTTTATCGAAAATCAAAATATCGAAAATACAAAATGTCGAAAATTAAAATGTCGAAAATGATAATATCGAAATTTTATTTAATCGAATTTTAATGTGAAACTAAACCATATTTTCTTATTTTGAATTTGATATTTTGTTTAAATATTTCAATTAATCGACATATTATTTTAATCCGAAGTGTATATGTATAGAGGCGCCTCTGATATAGAAATGTACTCAAACTCAACAACACAACCCAACCGACCCCGCCCCATTGCCCCCCCCCCGCCCCATTGAGCAAAAAACCCAACTAAAATGGGCTAATTTATGTAATTAAAAAGTGTTTTATTTTTATCGTAACATGAATTTGCCCATTTTAGTTGGGTTTTTTGCCCAATGGGGCGGGGGGGGGGCCAATGGGGCGGGGTCGGTTGGGTTGTGTTGTTGAGTTTGAGTACATTTCTATAAAACGCGCATCTCTAGGAGCCAGGGAGCCAAGATAATTCGGTGCATAACCGTAACTTTATCTACAGAGGCGCCTCTGTACATATACACTTCGATTTTAATCATACATTTTAATTTTCGATATTTTTAAATCGATATTTTAATTTTCTAAATTTTAATTATTCGACATTTTCAAATCGACATTTTAATTTTCGATATTATCATTTTCGACATTTTCAAATCGACATTTTAATTTTCGATATTATCATTTTCGACATTTTAATTTTCGAAATTTTAATTATTCGACATTTTCAAATCGACATTTTAATTTTCGATATTATCATTTTCGACATTTTAATTTTCGATATTTTGATTTTCGACATTTTGTATTTTCGATATTTTGATTTTCGATAAAAAGTGTTCGATATTTTGAATTCGATATAATGAATTTCGATATTGTGAACGTCACCCGTAAATTTTTTAGTGTAGGGATAAAAATATTAGAGTTGATTTGTAAGTGTAAAAGTTACACTACAAAATACACTAGGTAGCATTTAGTGCTTATTAACTTTATTAAACACATTTAAAGAATATGAACAATATTCATTGGTACATTCACACTATTTATTATTAAAATAAATCAAAAGGGTAGAAAAACTTAATGCGAGTGTTTATTACTCCTTAATGTGTTAAATGGTGACAAAATGTACACTTACAGTGCATGCCAATTTCTTTGTCTGTTTTGGTGTTACTAAGAGCTCTTTTTTCTTTACACTACTAGTGCACATTGTATCACAATTAAAGTTAAATTACACCAATAATGGCAAAAAAGACTGAAAAAACTGATAATAACCGAAATGCGTTTTAAAATGTTTGGTTTATCTCTGGCAGTGCATATCTGGAGATACCGCGTTGTGGAAGTGTGGCATTTTTGTTCAGTTAGATTTTAATTACGGTGAATCCATAAGGGGACATTCTTATTTTTTGGTAAGTTTTATACTTCCTTTTTCTTTAAGCCTTAATACTCAATAAATACCAATATGTTAAAAGGATGTCCATACCCGACCTATATTATATATCAATAATTTACGGCAGTAGGTCGGGTACTTGTAACATTAATAATATAAATACATACACATTTGATTTACTTTTTATTTTCAAGCGTAATGGTTGTTATATTAACCTAAACCTACATTTTTATTCATATTATGGAAAATTTGTACACGTGTGGTAAATCCCCGACATACAGCCGCCTGACGCCTCTCTACCAATGGGATCACCCATTTTTTATAACAGAAAAATGGATTACTGATGAATTCTTAAGATAATTCATTGCTTACAAGTTGACAGCCAGTAAAACATTGCATTGATCCAAAACTTTTACGTTTTAAGGAACCATTTTGCTTAAGTTGCCATACGACTCAAATATAAAATTATATTTTAAAAGGCACCAATTTTGATAATTGTCATAGATTTTTGTTCCAAATAAATGTTTCTCTTTATTTACCTTTTCGTTTTATTCACTACCACCAATAGGTTTTACTCAAATAATAGTGTTAATTTACAGTAGAAGTTTGCACTAAAAGAGTAAACGTACCTTTCTAAAATTATAACTTTTCCAAAGTAGTGTTAATTTACACTGAACAAAAGTGGGATTTTACCCAGGAAGTGTAGAAGTACACGATTTTAGGTAAATTAACACTTTTTAATACAGTGTAAAATTACTTTATCCTTAGTGCTATAGTGTTAAATCATACTTGCTTACTTGGGGAATGTTACATTACAAATTAACTCTAATTGTAGTGTAATAAAACAACACTATTTAGTGTGGACCTGTGTGAATTCTTATTATAATTAGTGATGCTTAGAGTTGATTTTTTTTACTGTTTAATTATATTTTTTCTTAGGTTGTAAAAATTGGGATGCGTCCCAAAGGCTACGAAGAAAATTGCGAATATTGGAAACTTTTTTGCCAATGTTGGGATTGCGACCCAGAACAAAGACCTCAAATTGGAGATATTTTAAATGAGTTAAACAGCCTTCTTGTAACCCATAAATAATATTTATTTTTTATATTTATAATGTAAACGTTTAATTTATCGTTGTTTGTATTTTATTTATTGAATAAATTATTTCGAAGATTTATATTTTTCCAAAACCTTTTCGTAGCCTTAAGCTCGTAGCGTTGAATGTTCAAACTGTTCTGAATATAAATTGAAAATTTGTATGTTTCTTGGAAACAATTTAAATTTCCATCTGGGTGTAGACGTAAGTTTAACTTTGGTTAAGATCATCACTTTAGTGTGCAAGCAATTGAGCAAAATAGGGGATGTAGTTCACAATTGTAAAATAATGATTATATGTACATGATAAGAGGACACGGAACTCCTCCCGCTATTATATTGAGATTCAAAGTGGAGGGTTTATTTTTTGCCAATTATAGATATTATTCCAAACGATAGGGGGTCTTGTTACAAGGATAATAGGAAATATATCTTTTTAATCCACTGATTTATTCAATGATTATTCCTCACCACCTTTAAAACGCCGATTACACTATGATAGTTTTACAAACTTTTTTCCTAACATTAAATACTCCAGCTTAGTTTAACTAATTTTGGGCCGCTAATTTCAAAAATGTCATTAGGCACGGTGCTGTTCTGAGAGGTGATTTTTGGACTTTCTTTGAAACCTAATTTTTTTTATATTCTTGTTAATTAGGTCATAACTAAAATTTTAAGAGCAAAATAAAAAAAATTTGACGGTTTGAATTGTTTTATTTGGCTGTTTATTAAAAATATTATGCACTCTTTCAATTATCCAATTATTAAAACTAGCGATTTAATTTAAATATTAAATATGTGCATAACTAAAAAAAGGATTTTACAATTTTTTTTTTATATATTTTACTGTTTTGTTGCAATAAACGTTCAAACTTTTAATTTAACCTTTGACGTATACATTTATTTTCCCTTAATTAATATATCCTTAAAGTTTTCCATGAAACTTAGATCTATTAAAAATTTATTTGACGTTTGAATTGTCATTTTCAGTATACGTATTCTATAATTTTTGTTTAGTTTTTTAAAGTGTTTTTTATAAACAAAAATGAAAAATTGTAGTAAAAGTTACGAAGAAATTCATGAAATTTAACTAAGGTCCGGTTTATTCATTTTTAGTAAAGTTTATCGGGCCGATAACTTTCATGTCTTGGCAATATCTAGTATCTAAAGAAATTATTCGTCAAATAAATCAAAAATGAATAAATCGGCCCTAAATAAAATGTGGCACCCTTAGAATTATTGTTTAATAAATGTATACTATACATTTAACCTTAAATTAAAACTTTAATCGTGTATTACAACAAAACAGTAGAAGATATAAAAAATTTATAGACCTTTTTTTAGGAAATTAACTAATCTTTATTCTGATTTAAAAAGTTATAATAATATTTAAATAAAATCGCAAGTTTTAATTGGAAAATTAACAGTGTGCATACATATTTTTAATAAACATCCAATTAAATCAAAATTAACCGTCAAATTTTTTTTTATTTTGCTCTTAAAATTTTAGTTATGACCTACCTAATTAACAAGAATATAAAAAAAATTAGGTTTCACAGAAAGTCCAAAAATCACCTCTCAGAACAGCACCGTGTAGGACGTCTAGGATTTAAAATAATTTCGTAATAAAATACTTTGTTCAATCACAAAGTTTTTTGTTGATATTTTAATTATTTATTAAATTATTTTGGCTTAAATTTATCTTGAGTGTACTAAAGTAATTGGTAGGTATACGGCAAATAGATCATATTTATCTTAACAATATGACATTTTAAATACTAAAACTAAAATTTTAATGTATTTTATGTAAAAAAACACCATTATTTGACATTTTATGTCGTTAATTTTAATTATTAAATTAAAAGGGCAACAAAGTAAACAAGTTTCAGTATTTTTTATCCAAATTAAGCCCTCAAAATTTAATGAATTGCATAATTTTGCATTTTTCTACCTTAAATTTATTAAATCGTATCAAATATCAAATTGGATTATAGTATAATTGTGCTTAATCCTCATCATCGTCGTACATCTTTTGCTGCAAATTCCAGCAAATGTCTCCTAGCAATGAATACAACTTATTTCCGCTATACCCTTAGATTTGCAGTTACTTGGTGAAATCATTCTCCATGTTCATCAGTTCGGCAAATTTATCAGGATGAAAAAAATGACATATTAACGCTAATTATTTGCAAAACGGAAAGCATTTTTTCAATGAATTGGCGCCAATTTTAGGCCCGATATGAACCAAGAACTTTGATAGCATTTTTAAATACTTGATCTTTCATTAAACGTCGTATATTAGGTCCATTTAATATTCCTGCAAAAATAAAGTAGTAGGTATATCTTATAAAATTTTGTAATGAAATATTGCGTTTGTTTTTCTTGGGCGTAAAGGTACCGCAACAAAAACAACAACATAAATGTTCGTCTCCTTTGTCTTTCTCTGCCACTTCAATTACCACTTCCATTTCCTGGTCTTTTTTCATTTTTGTTCTAAAATCACTTTCAAGTAAAAATACAATTTAAAGTTTAAATTTTAAATGTCAATAATTAATAGATGCACTTTAGTGTGCTTGAACGATAAAGTAGATAAAGGCGCATTTATACTTCAATTCGATATTAAATTTTGATAAGCCTATATATAATATATTTAAAAAAAATCCAACTGCCCACTTTTAGGTGTTAAATAGCACCCCTAAATAAACAAAATTTGGAAAAAAACAGGTTTGTAGATCATGTTTTTGTTTTTACTTTTTCTTCTTTAAATGTACAAGAGTTTTGAAAATGTCATGTAGAAATTTTGGGCCGCCACTGGTTGGTCCTGACATATGACAACTTATAATAATAATATATTACATATGATTATAGGTCAGTGACATCTAGGTCTCCCCGGTTTTGTCAAAAAAATTTCTTCATTTTTTTTTATTAAAAATTTATTCTTGTTTTTGCGTGTACGAGGTGTGTTCAGAAAATAACGGGAATTGTTAAATTTCGCGGCTTCGGAAGGTCCGGTTGTCATAAAATGTTCTTTATTATGTTGGTATACATGCCCCGGAAGTTTACTTTGTCAGTGGCAGCCGCTAAGGTTAGACGTGTTTTATAAGCTCGGCGATTTTTCGTTCGTTAAAAGAAATGGATCAAAAAAAATTGTATCCAATTTTGCTTAAAAAAGGAAAAATTCTCTTAAATGTTAACAAAGCCCTATAGTGAGTCTGCTATAAGTAAAACAAGAGTTTACAAGTGGTATAAGAGTTTCCAAGATGGCCGTGAAGACGTTGAAGATGACGAATGCCCCGAACATCCAAGCACATTAACAAACGATAAAAACATGGAAAAAGTGAAAGAAATGGTTATAAACCATCAAAGAAGTCGCTGATGATGTTGGGATATCGATTGGCTCATCTCATGAAATTTTTTCGAATGTTTTGGGTATGAAACGCGTGGCAGCAAAATTTGTTCCAAAATTGTTAAATTTTGAACAAAATTTTTGTCCAAAAACAATACTGTAATAACGCCCCAGCCCCCATATTCGCCAGACATGCCTCTGTCTGACTTTTTCCTATTCCCAAAAATAAAGAGAAGCTTAAAGGGCCGTCGTTTTGCAAGCATACACTGAAAGAAATGCATAGGTTTTGGTAGCAAAAAACAATATGCTGAAAGCAATGTGTTGGAAAGAGTATTATATTTGTGGACATTACAAACAAACGCTAAAGTTTTGCGCTTACAACAAATGTCAAAATGCTTGTAGTAGTAAGCATATGAACTATTTATGTTTTGCTTTACGGACAAAATCTTTACTTTCTGTGCAAACAGCATTTTGCTTATAGCAAACTGACATTTGCTGGCGTAATAAATGTGCGTTAGTTGAAGATTGTGTTTACAGAACATACTTTTTATTGACTATTTCCCTCGTTTTAATTTCCACCAATCACAAACACGCAATTTTGAATTACAAATGGTTTCTAGGTGAAAAAACTGTGTGACAGCACCTGTCAGCAGTTTTTTCGAGTTTACCCGCGGCAAAACTTGACAGCTGCTGTTGTCACCAAAAATTACAATTTATATTTTAATTATTAACTGTTACTCATGAAATAGTCTTGTCAAATACCATTCGAGCATCTAATTTTTCCTCTGAAAAAAATCGTAAAAACACAATGCCAAGTAATATTTTTTAACAAAATGCATTAGTGCAGGTGCAAAAATTCTCCTCTTCGACTCGGATTTTTGTTGCAACCAGCACTCATGCTTCTTGTTAATAATAACAAATACAAAATAAAGTAATGTACATAGTTGGTTGCAAAGTATTTAATTTTTTTGAATTATATTTAATTAAGTACCTACCTAGCAAGGTAATAGGTAAATACAAGAAGAAATAATTATACATTAAGTATTTATTGGTTGTTATAATAACAATACGTGACGCATGTATATGCATGTCTATGTTATACTTAAAAATAATTTATTAAAAAAATTAAATGTCTTTTAAATATTTAATAAAAAAATAAGTATGTTAATGGTTAAAATCAATGTTAAACCCAAAATTTTTTTATTTTTATTTTAAAAGCTATTCATGCACACGACCACATCTGGTTTTCATCTAACAGTATTGATATTTTCAAGAAGGGCAATAAAACCCCTCTTTTACCTAAGATAAGAATTTTTAGGGGCTGGATGCTCGACACATTTGTAAAAACCCAGCATTTAGTTTGTTTACTTATTCATGTACACATGTAACATTTACATTAAATTTATATTAGTTTATTAAACTATGTTTTAATGATATTTCAACACATACGCGAAAAAATAACTAACAAAGTAATTATCAAAAATTTTTACCAGCAAAAATATAAATTTAAAAAAGGCAAAACATATACCCGAAGATTGCCAGACTTTCCATATGGCCACCACTATGCCATTTTCAGAGTCAAAATCATTTGAGATTTGTTCGTGTGAAGATTGCGAAGCAATTTGTGTACCTTACGATCAATGGGGATTCTCTAAATATGTGGATATTTTTAAACGTAAGTATTGTATTGTTTTTATATTTAATGTGCAAGTTTGTAGTAGACATAAAAGCT